TCTCTCTCTCTCTCTCTCTCTCTCTCTCTCTCTCTCTCTCTCTCTCTCTCTCTCTCTCTCTGTGTGTGTGTGTGTGTGTGTGTGTGTGTGTGCGTCTGCGTGCAATTCGCCAGCGAGTAAGCAGAGCTCAGTTGATCTTGGGTTTGGGCTTCCTTCGGCGGAGGAATAGGTAAAGTCCACCGGCCACGGCCGTGCTAGCTATCCCTGCGACGGGGAGCAAGCCGCCCACGTTGAGCGTCCTGTTCTTGGCACACCTGACAGGATGCATGACGGTGGCAAGCCACCTACACTGGGTCAGAAATGAGCGCGAGCTCGAGTCCAGAACTCCCAACGTCATAAATACCCTATCGAAGTGCAGACCATCCATCTCTTTGATGATCTCGTGCCACGAATTGATTACCATCGAGTACTCCGACATCACCGTCTCCACATCCCCGAACACCTCCTTCATCACCTTAAACGTGTTCCCCGCCGTCGTCTCTCCCGCCAAAATCCTGATTCCTTCATTCACGTTTCTCAACGCTTCGTCCAACTGCACTATGACGTAATTGCGCCATCCCGCTTCCACGTGGATCTGGGACAATTTCCACCCACGTGACGTGGCTGCCAGCGCATGCGATCCGACGGCCCACATCCAATCTTGAGTCCCCTTCCCATGAGAGTGCGAGAATGTCTGATGACTAGGAAGCACTCCGGTAAGGTGTTCTGCCACCGCCGCCACCGCGCTCTTCAGCGGATTACGCAAGTCCACGTGCATTCTCTCACGATTACACTGCATGTTCGACGCCCAATCAGGCTCATCGCTTTGCACAACCAAGACCATGTTGTTCAGCGATTTCGCCGTGTACTGCTTATCGATGAGGAGCGGAGATCTATGGAGAGAGAAGACGAAGATGGGGACATCCAACTTGTCCCTCAAGTTCCAGAAGGAGAAGTACGACGATCCCCCCCCTGGACCGCCTTTGCCACTCCCATCGGTATCATCGATACCTGCCAGTCTCTGTAGCTGATGCTGAAGGGTCAGCGAATCGATGAAGGAGACTTGGGAGGGTTCAAAAAACCCGTTCGTCCCGAGCAGCGGAACTGCCGACATCCGGATGGAGGAGGTGAAGGCAACTCCCAAGGCGGTGTCCTCTGCAACGCCAAGCTTGTGGAAAATGAAGCGGAACTCCTGACTAGGTACCCTAAGTTTGGTGACCTCTCTCTTGAAATCGTCGACGAGAAACGCGTGCTCCTTGTCGACAGGACCGTGGGGGTGGAGAATGTAGACGTGAAATGTCACGCGGTTATGGATATGAAAGGATCCAGAGGAAGTCGGAGGGGTGACCACCTGTTTCATGACGTTCGATAGAATGGCTCCCACTTGGGACATGAACACGTCTCTGACGATGGCTGCGTGATCCTGGTTCTTCAGTTGGGTTCCCGCCGCTTCTTCTTCCTCCTCCTCCTCCTCCTCCGCTGCGTCCGTGGGGTGATCGCCCTCCATTGCTCGCGCGATTCGTCCGCCGGCCGCCGACGGATCTTTCGTGCCGAAGATCGCCGACCAGGAGTGTATCTTCTCCATCGCCCTGGCCACGGCGGCTCCCTTCCTCCCGTCTTGGTCGTCTTCCAAGTCATCCAGCCTTTTCACCTCTTCCTTCATATCTTCAACTCGCCTCGACAACTCCTCGCAGATCCTCACTGGCGTCGTCCTACCCACACAGTGCCGCTCGGCGAACATCTCATACACGTCCATTTCGGCCATCAACATCTCCGCGTCGTGCGCAGCGTCGTACTGCGCTTCCCCGCCGTTTCCCCCCTCCTCCTTCTCCTTGCCTTCGTGTTTAATGGCGTTGAAACGTTCGGCGGTGATCCTCTCCAATTCCAGCTCCATCGCCGCTTCTTCCTCGCTCACTCCCTTGGCAGGTTCCTGTTCCACTGCATCGAAGATGTTGTCCAACGAGGGGAGGGTAGAGAGAGCTCTCACTCCCTGACCTTTAATCATCGGACCCCAGTGAAAGGGACCCGCTGATAGATCGACGAACGCCACCCTGTCCTCAGATACCCAAGCGTCGACAAGACAGTCCCCATGAAGCCCCACATCGTTGTCCTCAATCAGCCGACGAAGAGCGCGCCCATGCTCGGTATTCTCCTTCAGTATCTCTCCTGCCTTCAGACCCGCGAGGCCCTTCGTCACGTCATCCCCTCCCCCTCCTCCACCTCCACCTGCAGCGGCCGCCATAGCCTGAATTCTGTCCAGCGCTCTCTTCTTCTCTCTCACCCAGTCCGCCACCTCGACCGATTCCACCAACTTCCACAAGAACTTGTTGTTCGGTCGTTTGGCGCCTTTTCTCCTTCCCCAGGCCGAGTATCCGAAAGACGACGCGCCAAGAATTTTGGCGGGAGATTCCTTTGCCGCGTTCTTGATTAGCTGTGCCACCGTCTCGTGATGCCCTTGCTTGGCTGCCAGCAGCTTCAGCTCCGACCCCGACAATCCCGATCGGTATCCGTACTTCACTCCCTGCAACCAATCTAGCTTCGGATTCAATACGAACACGTTGTACGCGCCCTTCAAGTCCAATTCCTCCACCAAGCTGTCCATCAACGCCACCATAGCATCCACATCCACCTGGAAAACCGCCCCCTCATGCTCTTCTCTCCCTCCTCCTCCTCCTCCTCCTCCTGCTGCTGCCATTGGATCTTCCTTCCTCGCCAACACGTGGATGGCCGACTCGAACAAATCGGTAACGGTCTGACCAACATCAATCGCATGACAAGAATAGTTATGGTGGACAAAACTGAATGGAGGAAGCTCGTCTTCCATATCCACGTTTTCCTCCCAATCGTCTGTGGTCAAGCCGCCTCCTCGGCCCGCTCCTCCTCCTCTTCCTCTTCCATCGCCGCTGTTCTTCTTCTCCTCCTCGCTCCCTTGCCTCTCCTCCCGCGCGTGCGGTACTCGGGAATGCTGAAGCATATGGTCCATGTGCGCAAACCAATGCGTGATGTCTCCTCCCGTTATCTCTAATCCATGATTACCATCTTTGCTGAATCCGACGAAGATAAAGTTGATGGGTACGGGCAGGTACATAGCGTCTACCTCCTCCAGCCCAAGGAATTCGGCTACCGACTTCGACTTATGATAGCGGGTTTCCAGATCCTTAGTCATCTTCGGCTTTGAGCGCTCCCAATCATCGACCGACCTCCTGAAGAGAAGCCCATCCCAGATCCTCCGCCTATTGTTATTACCTTTGAATTTAAAAAGATTCAGCATGGCATTGACGTTCGATGGCCGGGCCATTGCCTCAGCCTGGAGGGGCTGAGAAGCAAGGAAAAGGATGAACAAGGCGAGAAGGAAGAAGAACGAACGAGACAAGCATGACGAAGCCGAGGTGAAAGAGGAGGAAGAGAACGAGAGGAGGCGACGAGCGATACATACATCCCTACCTCTCCCAGCCATCCTGTGTCTCGTCGTCGTCATTCGTGTCGTTGTCATCCCGGTCCAGTTCCCGCCGTCATTTCCCCTCACAACGCCGTCCTCCTTGCGCAACCCCGCCATCTCCCGCCCCAACAACCCCGCCCCCCCCGCCCCCCCCGCTCGGATGACGCGGTAACAGACACGACAGAAACGCGCCAAATTTGAACTTGCCTTTTAAAGTTTTAGCATCCCGCACTAACGAACACTACAGTAATAAATCTGAATGCCATGGAGTTGGCTTTTCGGATGTCTAAGATCGCCGGTCATTGCATCATTAATCTTAACAGCATAGCCATCTCTACTTGGCAATCACCGGCGGCCATGATCGCCGATCATGAGACCTGCGAGCATTAGTACTTAGTGCCTCCGTGCTCGAAAGACTGATGACAAGAAAAATGATGACACTATAGGGGGACCCTCGGTGCACGAGCCGTCGTCGTCGTCGTGACTATCCCTGTCTAACTCCGTGGCATCGATAGTCAGTGCCTGCGTTGTACTCTCCTGGGTTCCATAACCTCTCTCCGCCCGGTCCTGCGGGTTCTTACCTTACCTTCGCTGAGGGTTTCCCTCCCTTTGCAGAACCATCCATCGCTCTTCGAGAAAGAGAGGAAGAGAGGGGAGAGGACCTAAACCACGAGCGATGAAAGGGGAACGGGCGTGAATCAACTGCCCCGCCGCTCTCAGCATGCCGAGAAGCCGGCCATGGCGGTCGACAGCGACCGCTACCGTCGCCTTGTGACAGTAACTGCCCGCCAACAAACTAGTCGAAGGAGGGCATTCAAGAATTGGCGGGAGAGACTGGCGGGCAGCAGAAAGCGAACGGCGGAAAGCCTGTGAAGAAAGGAGGGAAAGGACAGAGGTTCAGGTTGCTCGCACAGTGGGAGGACGTCCTGCTTCGAAGGACAGAATGGTGGGAGGTGGCCCTGCTTCGATGAACAGGGTGGTGGGAGAAGGTCCTGCTTCGGCGGACGGGTACGAGAAGGTCCCAAGCGGCAGGCTTGGGGCCGCTTGGGGCCGCTTGAGGGCTCAGCTCGACCAATCGGCAAATGGGAAAACGGGGAAAATAGCGTACATCTTTCCAGTTTCAAGGGGGAGAATACACGGATCTTGGCGAATTGTCCAGCAAACCCTACGCGACTTGTACCTTCTCCACTCTTCCAGTTGACCTTCTCCCAGTCTTCATTTTCATCCAAAACTCCACTGACCGGAGAGAAGGCTTCCGGTGTAAAACCACATGCCACAGTGAGGTCATCTGCTATGGCCGCCCCTCCCTTCGAAGGGATGGTAGGGGCTAAGTCTAGACCCACTATCTGGGCTAAGTGTAGACCCACTATCTGTTCGTTTGTCCTTAGGGTCAGCCATGGTCGTCCTGAGGGAAAGAGGCTACCTTCCCATCCCATCCTCACTTCGATACTCCTAGCGCACCCCCTATCTATACTATCCTACCTCAATGTGGCCAGCACTCAGGACCGTTACCCCTATCAAGGGAACTTGGACCGAACAGCAGTGACAGGCACCAGGGCTAGCCATGACCCAGCCGTGGTGGAAGCGGAATCGAACGAGCCTCGTCGCACGGGAACTTCGGACGCCAGGCCCAAGCAATCTCCTACTAGCCCCTAAGTTGACCAACTGGTAACTCACGCCCTCCACTCACCCACCACCGTCCTAGCTGGGCGGGGTAATCCAATGTGGCCAGCACTCAGAATCGTTACCCCTATCAAGGGGAACTTGGACCGAACAGCAGTGACAGGCATCAGGGCTAGCCATGACCCAGCCGTGGTGGAAGCGGAATCGAACGAGCCTCGTCGCACGGGAACTTCGGACGCCAGGCCCAAGCAATCTCGTACTAGCCCCTAAGTTGACCAACTGGTAACTCACGCCCTCCACTCACCCACCACCGTCCTAGTTGGGCGGGGTAATCCTCGTAACACCTATCATCATCATCAGTCAATCCAGACCAACCAGTGACTCCCGCCCTCTACTCGCCCACCACAGCCCTAGTCTGCCCCACACAGTCTAGCTGATTTTAAGAGAGGTACTTAGTCATCGAAACGCCTATCATCATCATTAGTTGATCCAAAACAACCAGTGACTCATGCCCTCTACTTACCCACCGCAGACCTAGCTGATATTAAGGGGGATACTTATCATCGAACGCCTATCATCATTATCAGTTGATTGTGACCTCCTCCCAGCCCTACGGTTGTGTATGTATGTATGATTGTGTATATGTGTATGTACTCTGTGTCATAGATGTGTGCCTGTGGGCTCTATGTGTGGTTGTATGTTGCTCCTCACCATGGAGCATCTGCGAAATGAGTACTAAGTACTGGTGAGAGGTGCTTTTACCTCACCTCCACTAGTACATATATGTGTGTGTGTACCTTGAGATATATATATATATATATATCGTCACAAACAGAACTGCCCGGTAAACCGTAGGCAGAGAGAGAGAAGAAGATAACAAACGAGGGGCTGTGATATA